ATTATTGAATTAACTCTTTAATTCAAGAACCCACATATCATGGGAACATCTAGCAAGTAGCATGAATCTAGTATTAAGTGAATAGCGAGTAAACCTATTTCGATTACAAGTTCATACATGTAAAATCCTTTCGACATCCAATTTCCCGATTAAATCTTTGGGTATGATTTTGTCGAAACCAAAAATTTAATAATTATGATTCCATTTCAAGTTTAGTAATTCGTTTATGAATCTCTATTCATTCTGCCTTGGCCAAGGACTTTGAATTACTAACTATGAAACACATAGGAAATTCACTTACCTTCATAAGTGTCGAATCCTTTGTTGGCCACTGACAAACTTCTATACATATTAGTATAATACCCAAAATATCCCTTTAAACGATTGTGCTAGCAATCAAAAGGATAAATTAAAGTAAAATATAATATGCACAAAGTTACAATCGTGCCTCAAGTCTAAGGATTAATCATGTACTATTGTAACATGAAAATTCTTATTCGACATGATAAACTTTCATTAAGAATTTTCATACGGTCATGTTCAGTGAACTTGTTCTCTAACATGCACCCACATATATGTATTTGCGTCCCACGCTAATGTCGATGGAATGCAACATTCTTATCTAATAAGCATACATACTATGTGCAAGTCTTTTCTGGATTTATTCGATATCCCATCTCGAAACATCCAACGACTTGGAACTGTATTTAAGATCACAACTTTCAAGATATGTTCCAAGATCACCACCTCTATGCGCAACCATATCTTATAGCTATAAGTGATTTAGGGATTTTATCTTAAGTGCAAATATATGATAAATGCTTACTCTTAAAATAAAGTAATGCCTTATTATTTAATATAATTCTAATAGATTGTATTTACAAGTAGAATACGTCCAATTTGATTGGAACGCCGGGTATCCTACTCTAACAGGAGCAGCCAGCTGGATTTGAACAATTTGATCAGGAAGGAAGGCCTCTAGTGTGCAAGCTAAGGAAATCAATCTATGGCCTCAAACAGGCTAAATTTCATTTTTAGTCCACTATGTTGACCATTTTCCGAAAAAGGTCCATCATATAGGGTGTCGTTAATAATGGTCCACTAAATTGTCACTTTTAATCAAAACTCGTACAATTGCCAACATAGTGTACTAAAAGTGATAATCACTTTTAGTACACTATGTTGGCAATTGTACGAGTTTTGATTAAAAGTGACAATTTAGTGGACAATTATTGATGACACCCTATATGATGGACCTTTTCGGAAAATGGCCAACATAATGGACCATTTTTGAAATTTTTCCGCCTCAAACAAGCCTCAAGAGCATGGTCCACAAAACTGTCTCAAGCCCTGGGTTCCCTTGGTTTCAAAATGGCAAAAGCAGACTCTTCCTTGTTCTTTAAGCATGAGAAGAATGTCACCACTTTAATCCTCACATATGTTGATGATTTAATAATAACTGGTGATTATGAGAACTACATTATGCAAGTTATCAAGGAATTGTCTAAAAAATTATCTTTGAAGGACTTAGGAGACCTCAGTTATTTTCTTGGACTTGAGGTAATTAAGAATGAGCAGGGAGTTCTTTTATCTCAAAAGGGGTACATTGAGGATATTCTTCAAAAGTCAAGGATGGAAGGGTACAAATCAATCAAAACACCCATGATCAGCTCACCGTTGACAAAAACAGAAGGGCAACCAATAGAAGATGCATATACCTTCAGGAGTTTGATTGGAGCTTTGCAATATGCAAGCATTACAAGGCCTGATATTGCTTTCCCTATTAATAAACTGAGTCAGTTTATGCAAAATCCAACCAACATTCATTTTAAGGCTCTGAGGAGGTTGCTGAGATATCTAGCAGGTACAGTGAATTTTGGCTTGCAATTTTACAAAGATACTCCCAACAAAATAATAGGATTTGCTGATGCCGATTGGGCCTCAGACTTGGATGATAGGAAATCCACATCAGGTTTGTGTGTGTTCCTTGGAAAAAATTTGGTTGCTTGGAGTTCAAAGAAACAAAAGTCTGTGTCAAGGTCTAGTACAAAATCTGAATTAAGAAGCTTGGCTTCAGTCACTTGTGAGGTTATGTGGCTAAAATCTCTTCTGAAGGAGCTGGAATTTGATCATCAAGAAACTGCCACTATTTGGATGGACAACAGAGGAGCCATTGCTTTTGCTCATAATCCAGTGCAACATTCAAGAACCAAACATGTTGATATTGACATCCATTTCATACGGGAACAAGTGAACAGAAAAGTCATTGCAATCCAACATGTTCCCTCTCTTTACCAGGTTGCAGACATCCTTACAAAACCACTCAGTGGACAATTCTTCAATCGACTTAGATCTCAACTAAATGTCACTCGAAGATCGATGTTCGAATTGAGGGAGGATAAAAGTCACTACAGTCCACGTCACACTAAGATCCCACGTCAGCATGTCCATGTCATCAATACTACATCACCTGACATCATCGCAGAGGGCACCTGGAATGAGAAACGAGGCATGCATGTTAGCATGCATGAGGACAAACGAGCACAATGGCCTCTGCAGCAATGTGAAAGCAAATGTTGTCCTTTTACCTCTTGTGGATAAAATTCAGATTTGAAATTCTTGTTTTTACCTAGTGTGGTTGTCCACCTTCCAGATTGTTCTCATTCCATGTATAAAAGGGCATAGCCTATGTAACAAAGAATTATTGCGAGAAAATCAAATATAACTTCAGATCTGGTTTTTTGCATCTTAATAGCTAATCTTCACCATTGTTCATCATGAAGCTCCTTGAAAGCTTTTATATGCTCTGATTTTATAATTAATTGATTGTGCTTCACTTCCATTACAATACTCTATATGTACTTGAATTTATGGATTCCCATTTTATTTTATATGTTCATTGGTTTTTTAAATCAATGATATCTGAGTATATGAAATGTATTGAATCTAATTTTTGTTTGTGTGCCATATTCAAAGAAATGATATAATCTTAAATGAGATGTCATATAACAAGAATGGTTGGACGATAGTCCTTCTAATAATCTTTGTACCTTTTAAAAAATTATAATAATTCAATATAAATCGACATGTGTCATATTATAAGAGAATAGTTAATAAGTCACTAGGTTTTATAAAATGAGTGTCGTCTCTATATAAAACACGACTACAGAGTAAAGTATTCAATATTTTATTTTACAAATGTAACATCACATTTCTAATAGTATGCGACATGTAATTTATATTAAATATTTTAAAAATAATTTTCTAACTTTGACTTATTTATACATGTGTCAACCTAGATTATTTGATTTGAGTAATTCATGTTCAGACTCATGCTCATTAAATAAATGAACAGGGCATGACTCAGATTGTTTAACAGCCAACAAAAATGTGAGCACGAGTTTGGCTCGTATAAACTGATGTGCAGTTGCACCTCAAACCAACTCCCCAAGATTCGTCGACTAATTTGCTCCCCGAAGGCCTGAAAAGAGGCAGGGTGGTGCTCCCGACGTTAAACCTCCGACTATCAAGTCAATAAGGTAATATGAAAAAGTGTATGGAGATATAATACAGGCTTATCGTGTATAAAGTGTAATTACCCTTTACCTTTTTTTCAGCATATTTACCTATTTACAGAAGATTATTAGCTTCTTGAGCAAGCTCATCCCTGCCCGGCTATCCGAAGGCCTACCCAACTACCCTTTCTGCCCAAATGGCTGCCCGTTAATTATTTTATCTTCATCCTCATCCTTTCGATTGTTTATCCTATTATCTATGGCCCTACATGTGTCTCATATGGCAGCTTGAACCCAATCTACTACGTAGTCGAATCGCCTACTATCATAATCATTTATCGAGCTCACAAAGTGCCGAGCTCTCCTTAGTTCGATCACTAGTAGGTCTCCCACTTAGCTCTCCTACTTAGGTTTCCAGGAAGTCCCTCATTCAGGACTCTAGTAGCTAGGTCTCCTCACTTATGTCTTCAGTAGGTCTCCCACTTAATCTCCAATAGGTCTCTCACTTACACAATCAGTTCATCCACCAGCCTACTTGTCCTCATGTTCCTTAGATACATTACCAATAAGTCCACTATTCTACTACCTACATTCTCTTACATACACCTACTATCAGTAGGTCCACCTACCTACTTGTCCTTAGGTTGTCACCATACCCGAGTTATCAATAGGTCATCATCATGACCGAGCTACTAAGAGGTCATTATCGTGTCCGAGCTATAAAGATCAAGTCACTCGAGCTACATGAGGGACGACTCAACCTAGCTATTCTATATGTTATATCACACTTGATTGACTTATTCACTAGACCTTAAGACTCAGACCAGAACCTGAAATTCTAACTGAAGTTGGTCAGGAAGCACGACTCGAATTATTTGATAGACAAGTTTGATTTGTTGTTTGGATTTAACTAGTGTGATAATATACAAGGGAGTGAACTCGAGTTTTCATCAAACAACTCGGTTCGAATAACAAAACATTAGGTGAAAAAAAAAATGCACACCCTTCTAAAAGCTTGTTATTTAATATTAGAAATTTAACTCGGAAAAATTTGTGAGTCCTTCACTGCTCTCGGTGCATATTCGCAGGTATTGTTCACGTTTGGATTTAGAAGGAGAAGTTGGTAAGATAATCTTATCTCCTTAGACAAGGTGCTAATTTGCGGGTGATGCGACAGTTCCGTTACGGAACCATTCTGTTGGGCTTCGTAACCATTAGATCATCATGTAATCGTCGAGGATAGTTGATCTAACAATTACGAACCCCGACGGAATGATTCCGCAACAGAATCGTATCATTTCTCCTAATTTGTTCAACCTCACCCAAGGTGCATTTGCAGCATACACTTGGAAAATAAATTTGTAACTGCTACTCCACTGGAATTTATGAGGAGAAAATGATTTTCTTATTTCGCCAAAAACAAAAAAAAAATATAAAAATAAAAACAACACATGGCATACACACTTTTAACTCCTCAATACAAAATCATTTCGCACGGGAAGCAACCGCACAACCACCGTTGGCAGCAGCATCAAATCCAACGGTGCGGCAATGAACTGCGTCAAAACTCCTGGCCCCCGCACGAAATGACGTCGGCAACAAGTTTGTTGTCCGGCGGTAAGGGCCAAGCCATTTGAGCCGCATGTACTGATACTTCCTCCACGGCGGGAGGTGGAGGCCGTCGCTCTTGAGCGACCGCCTGGCGGCCCCGCTCATCGCCTTCAGGATCCGTCTCAGATCCTCGCTCCTGCCGACAAAGACCTCCGGCAGCCTTCGCCGG